CACCTAAGCCTCCCCCTCCAAACATGGAAACTCCCCCTACTGGTGGCTTCTTCTTTGGTTCTATTTCTTCACCTGACTCTTCTTTCCTCTCTGACTCTTTTGCATCGTCTACAGTAGATGGATCAGCCCTTATTCCCTCCTCTTTCTCTCTGGCTAATTTTCTAGCCTGTCTTTCTTCTTCATTTTGTACCACAGACAGAGCATCTTCAATCTCTCTCTTGTCAGGACTGTCAGATTGTTTAGGTACCACTACAGTTGAGACCTTTTCTGGTAATGAGATGGACGACACACTACTAATTTCTGAAGGCAATGGTGGAGGGCTTCCTCTCCCTGGAATGTGTGAATGTGTTTTTATCGTCACTTGGCTGATTCCAAAGATGTCATCTTCACTCTCATCTTCTCTTATCCACTTTCTTCCTTCTTTCCTTCTTCTTTTTGAGCTTTATCAATGGTAATGTTTGAATTTTCTGGTTCTGAATTTAGCATGGACTTTCTCTCATTCACCTTAGCTCTCAATTCATCATTTCCAAAGAGAGCTACTCCTCCTACTGGTGCTTTTGTAGCAGACAAGGTTGGCTGTACTGAGTCTTTCAAATTAGAAACTTGGCTTTCTTTGTCTCCAGTTGCTTGCTTTTCTTTGATATGATCTGAAGATGTTCTAACTTCACTTCCCAGTGTTACATTAATTTCCTGTTGCTTTGCTGGTCTAGGACATGAGCTAAAAATGTCTTCATCATCACTCATGCCCCCAAAAATATTTGGTTTTAAAATGTTACTAGGTCTATTCTCCAGTGAATCTGATTTTGTATATGATTTACCAATTGAAAAAATATCCTCTTCTTCTGGTGAACCAAATAAACTGATATGTTTCTTTTCACTGCCATGACTCTGGCCACTACCCTCTGGTACTTTTGATACATTATCGTCTATCTGACTTAAAGATTTAGAATCCAATTTACTTTGTTGAGAGCTTATTGATCCTGAAGCCTTTTTCATGGGCTCAATAACTTCTGACTTTACTTTTTCTACAAACAAGTCATCTTCTGGTGATCCAAATATATCAGAGTCTGTACTTGGTGTTAATGAATTCTGTGTAGTCCTGAAGGTAGATGATGTCAGATTCTCCTTATGGGCACCCCTAGGCTCAGATGTACCTTTTGATGTACTCTTTGGGACTGCAAAAAGATCATCATCATCAGATTGAGATTGGAAGATAGTGCTGGTTGCTGATGGAACCTGAGCCTTTGATTCTGTCTTTTCTGGTTGACGACTGTGTTCCTGACTAATCACCGGCATTTTATCCTTTTGTAAAGATGTATTTGTCTTAGAAGATACAGAAGCATTGGATGTGAATAAACTATCTTCACTTAAGGGTGACCCAAAGAGGTCATTTACAACCTCTGTCTTAGAAGTTGCTGAGGATGTGATGGGTGGAGGCTCCAATGTGGAGGCCAGTGGTGCCTCTGACACTTGAGAACTTATTGTAGCAGAAAACAAATCATCCTCATCACTTGGGGAGCTAAACAGGGAGCTATTCTTCTGAGAGATATTAGGTACCTTTACTGGATTTGTTGAATTTGGCTGTTCTTGAGTTACTTTAGGTTTTGAAGAAACTGCTGCACCAAAAAGCCCCTCTTCTTCTGGGTCACTAAATAAAGAGCTGGATCCTGATACTGTCCTCCCGGTGAGGGGCTTCTCAGTTACAGATGCTATTGGGGGAATGCTAGCTTTCTTCTCAGTTTTAGCAGGTATGCTAAACAAGTCATCATCATCATCATCAGAAAACAGACCTCTTTTAGGCATTCCTTTCTGGATGCTAGCATTAGCAGTAGCAGCTACTGGCACAGATTTTTCCTCCCTACTATCAGTTTGTGTTTTCTCTGGTAATTTGGTCTTCTTTAAAACACTTCCAAACAGGTCTTCATCATCATCATAATCAAAGAGACCACCACCACCAACACCACCACCACCTCCTCCTCCTCTTCCTCCTGAAGCAGGAGGTACAACTTTTACTGTTGCTGCTGTTTGCACTATAGGTGATTCTGGCTTGCTTGCAGGTTTAGTCAGCTTGGGAGTAGAAATGGAGGACTTCCTACTACCACTCCAGTCAGAACCATCCTTTTCTGACTGTTCAGAGTCAGATGACTGCTGGCGACGAATGGCAGATGTAATGGCTGATCCAAAAATATTGATGCCACCAACTGGAACCTGAAACAATTCTTTAAATCTATATATGTTCAGAATATATATGGCAGGCATGTGTTTGTCTTTCGATCTCAGGTCAACAAAAATTACTTTAGCAATATCTATTCATCTAGTACTGGTTGTAAAGCCAAATCAAACCCTGCTAAAGCTATTAGGCAACTGACGGTAGACCCCGTTCCAGCATTGTGCGAGAAACTAACCTTCCTTTCATTTGGTAGTGGAGGAGGTTCCTCTCTCTGTCTTTCCTCATCAGAAATTTTGAACTGTGCCTAAAATACAAAAGAAGAAAGAATAA